GGAAGGGTGGCGGTGCAGAGGCGGGGTGAAGCCGGTGGCGGTGCTTTCCATCGCTGGCAGCACCCCCTCTCTAGATCGGTTAGGGTTTGGGATGTAGATGGGGTGTCTGGCAGCTCAGGTGAACCTCGTGCCTTGTGCTCCGGCTCCCACCTCCCTTTTTATGGCGTTGTGCGACGGGGGCTCACCAACCGTAGTTAGGGTTGGGTGCCCCCGATCAGGGCGCGGATCAAGGTCCAATTGGCCGTTGGGCCAAATTGATGGGATCAATCTAACATTCTCTCCCTTGATATCACCTTATGACTTAAACTTAACTAACTTACTTTATCTTGTTTCCATTCCATCACAAATCAGAGTACAGAGCGTGCCTCATCGTCACGGTCTGTTGCCATTAGATTAAACAGCTACAATGCACATCTCTGTTTTGAAACAGATTCTCAACTAGGCCATCATTGTCCAGAAATCATATGCTTTTCCTTAAACCCATGCCGGCTATGTGTTATCTGAACACGCTGGGTGGTAAGCCTTTTGTAAGCGGATCCGCGAGCATCTTTTCTGTTTTTATATGCTCAAGACTAATTATATGATCCCGGACTTTGTTTTTCACAACATAATACTTTATGTCAATGTGTTTGGCAGCACCACTTGACTTATTGTTAGGAGCATAACATACTGTAGGATTATTATCGCAGTATAACTTGAGTTTATAGCATGTTATGAGGCCACAGGGCAGGTAAATTGGCTGAAGAAATTCATGCCCGGATTGAAAGTGGTAGACAAAAACAGAGAGAGAGATAGAGAGAGGGGTGCGGACATGCAAACCATCGGTCTCCTTTGACGAAGACGAGCTGGCCATCGTTGGTGCACGGTGGAGGTGCGGTGGTGACTCGGTGAAGGCTCAACGGTGACGCGGTGGAGGCGTAGTCGCAGGGCGGCGGTGTAGAGGCGGGGTGAACCCGGTGGTTGTGCTTCCCATCGCTGGCAGCGCCCCATCTCTACATCGGTTAGGGTTTGAGATGTAGGTGGGGTATTTGGCGGCTCAGGTGAACCTCGTGCCTTGTGCCCCGGCTGTGGCAGAACCGTCCAGAATAACACGCTTTCAGAGGCGCTCGTCTTCCACTAGACACTAAGCACCTCGAAAGTGAGCTACCTCGGAATGTTCCGTCGATCACCCGGATGGTCCTTAATCGACACGAACAGGAAAAACAGTGTAACCAAGCTAAGCCCTGTTGGCCGCGGGACACAACCTGTTACACCCACCAATACACATACCATATCCCTTCCCTGTCTCTATTTTTTCTTTCATGATTTTATTATAAGAGTAATAATAATAATCATCTATTGTGAGTAACGGCAGGTTACTTATGCTACCGAAAACCTAAGCACAGCAGCTACTCGAACCTGTACTAGTAGGGCTCATAGGACATGTATATTTATGTATGTGGTTCCCATAAAACTCATGTAACGTAAATATACATAACATATATAAATAGTGATTATCCAAAAATAAGGGGTTATGCACCGGAGCTTGCCTTGGACAGGCCGGTGTCAGCTGAGCCAGTCAGTGGCTGCTTCGGGACCTCCTCCTGCACGAGAATCTCCTCCTCGTACTCCTCGATGATCTCCTTGAACTCGCGATCGCCGATGGTCACGATCTCCGCCAACTCGTTCTCTATATGCATGCAATGATGATGCAACACTTACCATTTATACAACAACAACTCTTAAAGGATATCAAGCAAAGTGTTGGGTTCAACTAACAAACATCTTTACCAAGCAAACTATCATCTTTACCATGCAATGATGATGCAACACTTACTAAGCTAGCTCTAATGACTGAGGTACTAAGCTAACTATCATCTTTACCAAGCAAAGTGTTGGGTTCAACTAACAAACATCTAACTTTACAAATGAAGGATATATCTTTATTGCTACTAATGATTTAATGTATATTGAAATAAAGAACATTTAACTATCCTAATATTTAGTCTATTCTAAAGCTACAAAAACTACAGTGAGCACATAATAATACAATGAAGCAACCATAAAAATTTCAGGACTAACGCTATCACCAATTTACCACAAAAATTCCTACCATATTTAACCTAATAATATTAAGCACTCTCAAATGATTTAATAGCTCCTGGTATCAACATGTACATATATGAACTAAATACACTAACAGATAGAGCACAATTTTAGGAACCTAACAAAATTTGTTTCATAATTTTTGGACACCTACATGATTTTATATGATTTACCAAAGATCAACTCCAAATTAAATTAGAAAACTATTTCTAATTCCTTATGAAAAAGAAAAAAAACAAATTCTCCCGCATGGCCCACGCGACGCAGTGCGCGAGCGCGAGACGGCCCACGGTGCGGCCCACGCGAGGCCGGCCTGCAGCGCGAGACAGCCCGCGGCGGGGAATCTCGTGTGCGTTGGCGATTTTGCAAAAGAGACCTTGAACTTCTCTCGAATTACAACTAAGTACTAACACTATTTCCCCTCTCAAACCTTCTCACTTAACCCCCTAGCCTTTCCCTAATTCACCCACGCGCACCCCCGATAACTCAGTGCACGGCGACGCGACGAGCGACGACACTAAGCGCCTATGCCGGCCACCTGGGACTTGCGCGGGCCCACCTAACGGGTCGATCACCATCTCTGACCCGAGCGGCTACGCTTAGCGGCGGTGCAGTGTGACACGACTGGCTGGGGAAGGCTGCAGCGGCGTGTGGCCATCCGCGACGGCGGCACCACTGTTCCGATAGGATGGGGTAGCTACAGGCCTAACTGGTTAGCTCGTAAGCATCAGGAGGCTACCATGGACTAGTCCGAGGTGACGGTTGAGGCAGAGGATGACGGAGGAAGGCTGGCCACGTGTGGCCGAGCCGTGCGGCGGCGCACCGTGGCGGCACGGTCACGTCAGCGATGAAGGGAAGGCGGTAGCGGTTTGGCTAAGGCGCGCTGGGTGAAGAGGGACTCAAGGCAATGCTAGTGGTGCAGGTGAGGAGGGACGGTGGGAGAGCTGCCCACATCCGTGGCCGGACGCGGCCTTATCGGCACGACGGTGGAAGAAACTCCAAATTAGAGCTTGGCCGTGCTCGCTTCAAAGCTGGGTGGGGTCGAACAACGAGAGGACGTGATGGTGAAGACGTGGATGCGCTGAATTGAATGAAGGTGATCGCTCGCAGGGTAATTGATGGTGCGGCTCGTGGCGACAGCAAAGGAAAAAAGAGAGAGACGGGGCTTGGTAGTTGGCTCGGCTCGTCCTCGCCTTGGCGGAATGCGATCGGCGAGATCGTGGAGGCCCACGCGTAGGCACTAGCAGACAGGTGCGCGTGTTTCCGACCTGCGTGGCCCGCGCGGCCGCAGTGCCTTAAATGACAAGGCGACGATGAGCTCGACCACGTGTGCGCGACAGTGGCGCCCTTGAACTGGACCGGCAGCGGCGCAGAGGGTACAGCGGACAGGCGCGAACGCGACGACGATGCGACGGGAGCGGCAGTGTCGCGGCGCAAGGTGGGTCGGCAGTGCGGCGAGGCAGCAGTGCGCGGACGCGACGCCAAGGTGATAGCGCCTGTAGTGGCTTCGTCGTGGCGCGGGGCGGGTGGCAGCAGCTTTGCGCGCGCGGGGCCAGCGGTTGCCGGGCCACAGCCAGGCCAGAGGCAGCCACGGCCAGCCATGCGCAGCAGCGCGCGCACGCGCGACCAACGCGGCGACGCCGAGCACCCAAGCGTGGTGACCGTGCCCACGCGGCCAACCAGCGCGAGACCGAGTCCTGCACAAATTTTAAAGCGCCTATAAAAAACTAAACGATTGCTTCAGGAGCCAAACCATCTTCAGCATGCTCAAGAGGGCATATGAGACTACCAAATCGAGCTATAACACTACACCACCCCTTAACCTAATCTCTCAAAATAATTTGCTAAACATAGCAATGTCTAGCTATTAACAGACTTGAAAATTTTCTAAATTTTGAGCTAAACTTGATTTCAATATGCAATTTCTAGGCTAGTAAAAATATTAGCTAGTAATATTATTTTTCAATAGCAAGTATTTCACTGTCATCTATAAAGTTTATACTTCGAACTTGATTAAAGTATCACACACATGCTCTACAGTATTTTTGCTTAATAAAAATTGATTTTCAACCCTACTTGACATATATGAGCTATTGAATCAACTTTCATTTAACATTTTTATTGATCATTTTAAGTTACAAGAAATTTATCTACACATTTTATCACACGCATTAACACATAAACATGATGCTCATGACATGTTTTAGTAAATAATTTGGGTGTTACACCGGCCCCCACCTCCTTTTTTATGGCGCTGTGTGACGGAAGCCCACCAACCATAGTTAGGATTGAACGTCCCGATCAGGACGCGGATCAAGACCCAATTAGCTGTTGGGCCAAACTGGTGGGATCAATCTATCAAGTAAATCACTAAAACTGAGTTCGGAGGACACACCCTTGTAGACTGAGGCACTTTCAGAGTTTGGTTGGCCGGGGAGACTACAGTAAAACCTTTAAAAAAAATAGGGGGCATGAAATGTGAGCATCTTGAACACTGCATACCGGTACAAAAGTACAATTTTAGAAACTTTATACTATCTCATTTCACTATATGCAAGGTGTTCGACATAGCAAGCAGGAAAAACCACCGGGACATGAAAAATGTGATTGCATTTCTGTATTTACACAATGTTTGCAACATCATCAGGCACAGTTTTTGTAGGCAGAAGTCTGCCTGAGACTGAAAGAATCCAATTTCTTCCTCAAGGAAGAAAAGAGGTAAAATTAGCCAAATCACGGGCTTCAAATGTACAGATTTACCCCCACTATTCACAACTAGTACGGCCAATTCTTCAAGTTTGAACCCGTTCCCCATCTAATCCTGTGTTTTATGTGGCAATAGGAACTCTAGGAACAAAAACGCAGCACAACCCAAAAGAATAAATAAAGGGAGTGAAAGGGCCTACCACCAAATGCTACCGCCAAGCTAACCCTGGAGAACCTGCTCTAGCACGGGCATCGACCAACGAAAGAGCCATGGCCAGCATCATCTGCTCCTCGAAGCTATCAGGAACACTGCCAGAACAAATGTTGGACCCAACTGAAGTGGACGAATTGCCAACACCAGCCTCCACTGTAACATCAGATTCAGCAATACTGGTTCCAGCCTCAGCCACCTCGGACCACCGGCCATTAGAATTAGAATACTCTGAACCCTCTATTGTTCGGTGTGTACTGCTGCTTGATGGTTCCTCAACTCTGAAGTCTGAAGAACTGCTCCCAACTACACTCAGATCCTCTGTGAAGGATCTGTCTGGTCTGCTAAGGATGTCAAACTTTGTTGTTTGGCAAGCTGATGCGCTAGAAGACTCTCCATGCATATGCTGCTGCTCAGCTAAAGCTGCGACTGCACAAGCAAATCCACCGGAAGAAGCTGCTTCAGGTGTCGTTGTCATAGCACCATCAAAAGGCCTTGAAGGAATTGATGATGGTGTAGTGCTAACGCATCCTGGATTTCCCAAAGCTTCCTGATCCTGTCAAAAGAAACAAAGATCACAAAATGGACAAGTGGACTCATAATTTTGACAAGGTGATTACTCCTGCTTCTACCCATTACATAAATGGAAGTGTATCCAACATGAAAATAGGTACCAATGTAGGTCTAAGTAAGAAACCAAATTCTAAGTGAAGTCGCACAGAACAGGCCTCAAAAGGATGTTGCTTCATTCAGGGGCGGATCCAACGGTGGGGCGGGGGGTGGGGGGGTGGGGGGCTCGAGCCCCCTACTCATACCGGAGCAGTGGAACCCCCTGGAGCCCCCATGAATTTTTAGGCAAAGTTCTATAGTGTAGGTGGGGCTGAGACTTAAGATCGAGCAGCAGTCGGAGCCTCGGAGGTATGTGTTGTTCAGCCCCCCCTAAAATTTTTCCTGGATCCGCCGCTGGCTTCATTTGATTATGAATGCAACATGAAGAGGCCATACAGATAAAGAAATGAAACAGGGATATCATTCAAATGAAGGTTGTAAAACTATCACCATCAGAAAAGCTCATTACTGTGACATAGCAAACATCCTTTCAGAGCAGACTAAATTACAATTATGAGCATTTTTGTTTTGTTTTGACGTACTTGTATAGAGAGCCAAATTGCCTCCATAAGCATTACTTCTTCAAGATCCACATCAAAATTACTGCCCCTGTATTAAAGGAATATACCATCAAATAATTAATCCCAACATCATGATGTATCCATTTTCATAGTAAAAAAAAGAACCTAGTTACTATGTGAGGAAAAAAGGGGGGTGATGACAGGTTTGTTTAGACTAAATCGTCTTCTCTTATGATGTGGTTCTGGTGCAATAAGCGATTAAGCCTCCTACTCTACTCCAAATGTCACAGATATGATGTAGAATGCAGAAATGGTCAAACATACAATCTTTCCTACCCAACAACTGACTTGATATTATAAGTCTTTGCTGGGGCCAGAAATAACTAACTGTACATGTTTACCAGTCAAACATCTTTATCTATGTATCCATTTTCATAGTAAAAAAAAGAACCTAGTTACTATGTGAGGAAAAAAGGGGGGTGATGACAGGTTTGTTTAGACTAAATCGTCTTCTCTTATGATGTGGTTCTGGTGCAATAAGCGATTAAGCCTCCTACGCTACTCCAAATGTCACAGATATGATGTAGACTGCAGAAATGGTCAAACATACAATCTTTCCTACCCAACAACTGACTTGATATTATAAGTCTTTGCTGGGGCCAGAAATATCTAACTGTACATGTTTACCAGTCAAATCTAATAGGTTTAATGAAATAGGTGAACAGATAAATAAGTCTTCTTTTCAAGCTATATCTATATATTCTATAACCCTTAAACAACTGCATTCATATTGGAAATACCTTCACAGGAAAGGTCTCCACGCTAATAAAACTTCCTTTCATAAACTTAGCCAATTATCAGATTCTTATTCGGAATGCCAATTTATTAATTGCATAATAATGGAGTTAATAATACATAGTACATGGCTGCAACTCCTGCGTTATCTTAATGCAGCTGAACAGGGAAGTATCAAATTGATCTTCAACAAGAATTTATCTAGAGCAGCAACACCAAGGTTTCAAGGGAATCTCCAACATGTTTGGTTAACAGAAAAACAAGAGGCAAACAAGAATCTGGAATTAATATATTCAGCATGGTACACAGCCACAGCAGGATATGCGAATCAACATGACAACGCCTAGCTAATTATTTGGCATGGTTGTCCAATGCCACACCCCATGCCTGACAGCAGGGGACTATACACGACCAACTATGAACTACTAGAAAGTACATTATAAGTTGTCAAATGGGTATTTCCCAATAGGGGCAAGATAGGATTAGTTATTTTGCCCACAGAACTTATGATCCCCAATAATTCAATGCAACGATAATCGCAATGCCTCCAACAAAACTGAATCTAGAAAGGGCATACAATCCTGTTTGTTTCGCTGAAATTTGGCTTATGCTGATTTGTTGTGAAAGGAAAACACTGTTCGTTCGCTGAAAAGTACCGCTGAAGTAGTGCAGCAGAACATTAATGCAACAGTAACCACACTACAAGCATTTGTGCATCTAGAATGCACAAATAAGTTTATCAGTACAAACCGCATCTGTTTGAAGGCTTCAGAATTCCTCAATATCAACTCCGAATGCTGCACTTCGGACGAGATAGCATCATTGCCTTGCGGACTGCTTGCAGCTATCAACGGATCAAACAGGGTCAGCAATTGAACAATATCAAACAACAGAATGCTCAGAAAATAAAAACACATGGAAAATCTACACTTCTACACACCTAGTGTCGATGTACCATCAGTATTGCAAGAATCAACTTGCACAGATGCTACTACGTCACCCAAAGTCGCAGTCAGCTTGTTCTTCATCCGCTCCGCATCGTCCTGTAGCTCCTGCTGGCGCATCCTGATCTGCGCCTCGATCACCCTCTGCTCCTCCTATCCAGAATTCCCAATTCCAACCAATTGGCGAAAAATAGACCAAAGCAGCCTACTCAGAAACAGAACACGGTGTGTATGGGCACTCACAAGCTGCTCTATGCCCTTCTCCTCCTTGGTCTTCACGCCGCGGTACTCCACCGCGTAATTCAGCGTCTTGCAATAAGGACACCTTATTACAAGGTAAGTTAAGGGGGCTTTGCAATTGCAACTGAGCTGTAACCGGCACAATTTAGTAACACCAGAGACCCTCCAAAATACGAAACACACACTCAAAATATCAAACACACACTCAAGGTAAGTTAAGGGGCTTTGCAATTGCAACTGAGCAATAACCGGCACAATTTTTACTAACACCAGACACCCCAAATGAAAACACACACTCTCAAGTCTCAACAAGAACACCAGACTGGATTTGAATTGAAGTGAATTTGGTCAGGATACTGCGTCGGCCTGCACGAGGTGGGCGACTTCATCTGGAGGAAGCACTCTGCGCGCAGGAGCACAAGTGGCAGGTCAAAAACAGAAACCAAAGCCGACGACGGCACCAAGGCACCTCAACTAGGTACTCACCCGTGCAAATCCCCTTGGCGCAGCACTTGGAGCGGTTGAGGCTGGGGTAGAACTGCAAGCACCACCAAGTAATTATTAGCAGATAAAACAGAGACAGACAGCGTCAAACCAAAAAATCGCTCCGCGCATCCTCCGACGAAAAAACAGACGGGCGGAGGAGGATGGTTTGGTTTACCAGGAAGCAGATGGGGCACTCGTCGAGGTCGGCGCGCGCGTCGTCGGCGCCCGGGTGGCAGGGCGCGAGCTTGGCCTCGAGGATGAGGCGGCGGAGCTTCCTTAAGTCGATGTCCGGGTGCGGGTACAGCCCCTGCGGGCGCGTGTAGCGCTCGTCCACCGCCGGCCGCCGCCGCCGCCGGCCCCCGACCTGGTTCCCCATCCCCTCTCGGCCTTGCCTCGAGTCGAGTCCAACCGCTGGCCGGCCGGGTCCCTCTACAAAACCTCAACCACCACCGCAACCACCCCGCTCCCTCCCGCGCGGGGTGAGGGAGGAGAGGAGGAGAGGAGACGAGAGGAGAGGCCGACGCGTCGCAGCGAGCCAGCGGCGGACGCAGGCAACACGACACGGGAGAAGTCAGTGGAAGATTTTCTCCCTCCCCCCTCCTTCCCTCTCTCTATGTATCCCCTCCCCCGGCAACCACGAGCCGGGACGAGGCGAGACGAGACGAAATGGAAAGCGAAAAAGGGTACTTCTCCTCGTGCTACTCTCTCTCTCTTTCCCCCCGACGGCTCGAACACCTCTGCTCGTGCCGTCGTCGCTGCCAGTGTCAGAATTCAGAAACAGACCGCAGCGCACGCATATGCACGCGGGCAAAAGCAGATTCTTCTCCTGTCCCTCCTCGTCCGCTGATCGGTCCGCGCGGATTACGCCCGCGCACTTCTCCTACCGTAATCTCTCTTTTTTACTCACACCACACGCACACACGTGCGATCACGCGTATACCCTAAAATTTCTGGAACCAGTGTCTTGCCGTCCGTCCCGTCCGAGCCCCCGCCAGGTGGGGCCGGAGACGGCGTGTCCTACTGGGATCGTGTGATGATGTAACGGAACGGGAAGGTGGTGTACGGTGTACCAGTAGTACCAGCAACTGGTTGCGTTGCTTTTTGCGGCGGCGTGCAAGCGACGAGGGGGAGAGGTTCACAAGCAATCGGGTGGACTCGTTCCTGAGAGCGGTGGTTTGTTTGTGGTTTGATTGATTTTTTTGGTTTTCACGGTTGAATGGTTGATTACTTTACGTCTTTACCTCTTCCCTGCAGGAGGTTACGATGGGAACGGATTGCGTGCCACCGAAGGCTTGCCTGATCGCCTCAAACACGCACCTTTCTCCTTAAATAGACTTTTGTATTTTTAAGACCCATTCGGCTTGCTGAATCTTGATTAAAATTGGCTGAAAAACATTGTTTTGGTTGAAATGGTGTAAGAGAAAAACACTGTTCCGACTAAAAAAAAATCGAAGAAGCCAGATATGGAGTAAACCGAAAGAGGCCTAAGGCAACATAGGAGTAGCATGGAAATGGTCGTCGTTGATTAGTGAGGCCATCTTCTCTATGTAGTACGTGTCTACACGACTATAACAGTATATGTGATATAAAGTTAGCGGTAAGCTGATTAGGTGTGGAGTGGTGGAGGGGGAAAAATTAAGATATAGTAAACCGCCGGTAGCGTAGACGACAAAGTAAAATTTAAAATTAGATTAGCCTACACACCTGTGAAAGATATTCCATTCACAAAATTGCTACGTAGTAATTACGATCTAAACCTCTTATTGTGGTATTACCGTCCTTTCCTTTCCTTTCCGGTCCATCATTATTTTCATTTATTATGTTGCCTCTCAAGCAGTCGTGTTTGTGCTCGGTGCTGGCCAACGGCTGCTTCTGCTCAGTGTTGAACTTGGAGAACGTCGCCATGTGACTCAGGTTCCTGTGCTCGGTTGGGCTGGAATTAAATTGGCTTCTATTAATTTGTACACCTGATTTGTTGTGAGAGAGAAGCACGGTTCCACGGCTGATTTGTATGGATTAAAGCCGGCTGAATAGCATAAGTGAACACTCCATTGATGCCCTGTTCGCTTGGCTGATAAGCCATGGCTGAAAGTACTGTTGGCTGATTTGTTCTGAGAGAAAAATACTATTCATTGGCTGAAAAAGTACGGCTTATAAGTCAAGCGAACAGGGCGTTGACCCTCGGCTCCTGATGTGATCGCCGATCGATGGTTTCAATTCGTGATCGCAGTCTCAGAGCAACTCCAGCAAATCATCCAAATTATGGTCCCTATTTTTGATTTGGGTGATTCCCCCTATTTTTGTTGGCCATCTATTTTATATCTGCTCCCGCAGAAGCCCCCAAACCAAAGACCCAAATCCTTTTTTATAGACACCGACAATCAAGACCCACTTGTCATTCTCATCGCTCTATCGGCTGAGCTATCGGCCACGGGGAAGGAGTGGCGTTGCTGCCGCATGGCCGCATGAAGGGGAGGCTCGACGGCCGCGGGGAAGGAGAAGTGCGTCGCAGCTGCGAGCCTCGATGGCCGGACGCGGAGAAGAAGGAGCTCTTTGTGGCCACGGGGAGGAAGAGGCTCGACGACTGCGGGGAAGAAGAGCTCGCGGCGACCAGGCCACTCCTGCGCGTGCGCCCTACAGGGTCTGGAGGGTGGATTTGGGTGCCCACACTAAATTGAGGGCTCTAGTAGGGGCCCTGATGGAGCTGCGTTTTTTGCCTGAGTACCCATATTTAGCAATGTGGGCTCAAGTTGGTGCCCTTCTGGAGTTGCTCTCAGAGCTAGTAAGGGGTTTGATCTACAGTTCATGTCACCATTTGATCGATTGGGCAAGGGCGGAGCACAACCACCACTATAGGACATGTTTCACTAATGATAAAAAAATAATTTGTACAGGTAGAAATTTTGAAACTTCAGAAAAAAATGATGTATTTCCACTTGCGGCAGAAAACACCAATACAAATACAAATCTAATGAAGAAGAATGTAAGAGAAGATGGTCAGTGCAAAATCTGCAGCAACCTCCACGAAGAAGCACCATGTTCGCTTGATCGTATCAGCATGCTTATCAGCCATGATATAGTGTTTTTCTCTCACAATAAAACAGCATCAGCCGACTTATAAGCCTCAGAAACGATCAAGCGAACATGGTGAAGATGCAGACCACATCATGTCAGGATGCTAGGTTCTTTATGAGAACCTTTTTTTTTGCAAAATATCCGGTGGTGTATCATGTTAAAATTTAAATAATTTATTTGAGTACGGAACTAAGAATACAAGATCCCAATGTATGAAAAAATTTGATTTTTTTCTTTTCCAAATCCACGTATGATCTTGCAATGCATGCATGTATATTGGGCCTGTTCGGCAGGACTGAAAAATACTGTTCCGGCTGATTGTTGTGAGAGAGAAATACTGTTCTGGCAGGACGTGAACAGTGATTATGTGAGAGGAAAAACAAGCCAGCTGGCTGGCTTTAAGCCAGCTGGCTGGCTTTAAGCCAGCCGAACAAGCCCATTGAAAGTAATTCCATTTTAAAAAACACGCATCTCAAATAATGTTTAGAAAATTACATAAAAATATATTTACGGACATGTGTTCTATTTTAACTCATATGCAAAAAATAGATGAAAGGTTCAAATACTTGTTTGCAGCAATTCAAACTTCAATTTATGACTTTAATGAAAAAAAATAATACCTAAAATTGGCTCAAAAGTTCTATAAATTGGCATGGAATCCTTTAATGGGTGCATAAGTTTTACATAAAAATCTCGAAAGATTTTTATGAAAATTGGAATATACATTGCTCGCAAAATGGATATATATTTGTTAGAGATAATTCAAACCTTTATTTACAGCTTTATTACAAATAATAATAATAATAATAATATAAAGTTGTCCAAAACTTTATGGGTTTATTCAATTTATTGATTGTGTCATGTAATTGGAACTAAATTCGAATTCATTTCAAATTAGTTTACCTAAAGTATTTTCAAAATTCATTTAAATAAAATATTAAACCTTAATCTAACGCCTAAGCCTACCTGGACCTAACGTGGCCCACCGTGACTTTAATCTCCTTTGCTTCTCTCTGTCTTTTCCTTTCAACACCACCAGTGTAGCCCAGTTCGCATCCGACCAACGACTTGCCAATAATATAATTGAAAAAAAAAATTCATGGTACCTCCCTCAACTTTTACGTAAGTTTGTTTTTCCTTCCTGAACTCTAAATCGGGTAAACCATCTTCCTGAACTTTTAAAACCATTCATTTTACCTCCCTGACCGGTTATAAGCGGTTTTCAAATGTGATTTTATCTTTTTCTTTTTTATTTATTTTGGCCGAATCTTTAAAAAATCATAATAAATCACAGAAAAATTATAAAATAGAAAATTCAATTTTGTTGGACTCCAAATGAGTAGATCTACACAGTGAACATATAATATGGTATGCTTTAGTATAAATTTTTTGTTGTAGCTTTAGATATATGTTTTTCTATAATTAATTCATAGCTGCAGTTTCTATCGTCTAATTATGGTGAAATTTTTATGGTGGGCTAACTATTGTATTCTTGAAATGTACTAAAAATCATTGGATCGTTTATAAATCTATAACTAAGTTATCCATGATAAAATGAGTATGAAATTTTTAATGCAGTTTAAGCATACAATAATTGGTCCACCATAAAAATTTTATCATAATTGGACCATAGAAACCGCAGCTATGAATTAATTATAGAAAAGCATAGATCTAAAGCTGCAGCAAAAAAAATTATACTAAAGCATACCATATTATATGTTCAATGTGTAGATCTACTCATGTGGAGTCCAACAAAATTGAACTTTTCATTTTATGATTTTTTATGATTTACTATGATTTTTCAAAGATTCAACCAAAATAAATAAAAAAGAAAAAGACAAAATCGCCTTTAGAAACCGCTTATAACTGGTCAGGGAGGTAAAATGAACGGTTTTAAAAGTTTAGGGAGGTTGTTTACCCGCTTTTTGAGTTCAGAGAGGTAAAACAGACTTTCACAAAAATTGAGAAGGTAATATAGACTTTTTCCATAATAATTACATTTAGAGGCTGAAATTTTTCAAGAGCCTAGTATAAAATAAATGAATGCCGAAGCCCATCACAACCAGAGAAACAACTTCATGGTAAAAGGCTTTAAAGGCCGCAAAAGTTATTGCGCGTGCGGTCGCGCTGCTGTTGGAGGGCGCGACTCCCCTGCCCTGCGCTATGCGTCCGCGTGATTCCCTGGCCCACGAGCGCGCGACTCCCCCTGGCCTGTTCGTCTGCGTGATTCCCTGGCCCGTGACTCGCTAGTTCGACATGCATGCTAGTGCCCTGGCGGGCTGGCTTTTTTATTATTTTTGA